CTGTATCTATGCAAAAGCATATTGGATAGGCTCTTGATTGTATGGATCATGGCAGCAAATATGTGATGTTTCACTTACTTAATCCTTGAAATCGGTTCCAATTATTCTTGTTCTGCCTAAAGAGTGTTGTCTTATCTGCGTAATATGAATTTGTATTGATTACAGCGGGTATAAAATACACATACTCATTCACTTTTAGGGGTTCTGGTCTGAGTGAATTCCAGTTATTTGGATGAATAATAACTGTCGCCTCTACTTCAACCTGCCGTCCGGTGCCTCCGAATTATTCGTTTTACAACAGTCGTCACTGTTAATATGCTCACTTGACCTCCTGTGAGGTCAAGGCAGTTTTATGTAGGCCACTTTGGAAATGTGACGTCTGGCAGGAATGCAGTAATACGATCCCGGTTTACTTGCCCGTCTATTGTTTGACTCGTCTTGAGTACCGATTGCGTAGGCGTCTATTATTTGAATCTATTAGATGTCAAACGAAGGAATGGTAGCCCTCTGAAGTCCCCAGAATTGTTCTTTTCGCTGCCAACGATTTAAACAGGAACTGGTCCATGTTTAGTGATCTACTTGTCTAAATTTGTCTGGGGCGGAATTGTAAATGTCCACTTTTTCTACACTTTGATGATGTGTGGGATGCAATGTAGGTCCTTTGCTTGTCTTACCTTCAGCGCTTTTTAATTTTGATCGGATTGAATGTGTGCTCCATAACTTATCTCCTCTCATGAAAGAAAGAATAGTTGAAAAGAATAGAATAAATAGTTGAAAAAATAGTTGTATTTTTTTTTTGCGTGAGCCGAAAGTCTCTAGTCTTTTTGAGCTATGCATGAGGTGTACCGTGAATTAACTCCCTGTCCACCTGCTTCTGCTGCCCATCGCTGCGGACTGCTTATTTTAGTCCTTAGCCCCCAGCACATTCAATCACCTATTATTCACTTGCAGGTTAATAGAATAAGTAGGTAGTCTTTCTCCTTTGTACATACGTCAGATGTTTTCACATAAAGTGGTCCACTTGACCTCGTTGGGGGTGCCTACATGAGTAATCGGTGCGTATGTCGACCAATGCGAATGTAGTATGGGGTATGCTGCCTGCTGCTATAGTTACCAGCATTAGCAACAATGATGCCATGAGTATGCGGTGGGGCCCCACTTTGTG